GTAGCTGACTTTACAGGACCCCTAACGACCACCAGATGGAGTGGACACCTTAGACTCTTCTCTCACCGAGGCGTAGGGTTCCCTGCCAGCTGCTGGCATCTAGGCTGAGAGGCTCGAACACATCTGGTCTACTCTAATACAGCACTGGCCAATTCTGTCTTCCAGACAACGCTGGCAGAGCTCGCTGGCTGCAGTTGGATCAAATTTAAATTGGGTGCGTCTAGCCTTCGCGCCAGTTGGTTTTTGGCTCAGAGAAAAAATCATGGCGGACGACGCCTCGGACGCACGCCCACCGCCGGGTCCGATCGCGGTCGCTGCGCTGCGCATTGACACGCAGGCCGTCGAGGCAGAGTCGCTGGAAGCTCCGCTCGCGGTGTCCCCGACGTACGGCGTCGCGCGCAACCAAGTGGATCCTGCGGTCCTGGCGGCGCTGCCCAAAGAGATCCAAGACGAGGTCCTCGCGAGCTTCTCGGTGCCAGCCTCGTTGGAGCCCGCACCGGCGGACCTAAGTGACGCCGCGTGGACGTGCCCCATGTGCACGTTCCTTAACCACGCGGCCTTGGTGTCGTGCGAGATGTGCGAGTTCTCGGTCGCGCACCTCATGGACGCCGACGACGAGCAGCCATCGTCGCCGCATCTGCTCTCGGAGACGCTGCTTCATGCGGCCAAGTCGGTCGTGCAAAAGTCGCTCACAGCCATCAAGACGACGCACGAGCACCGCGACGAGCTCTTGCAGTCGGCGACGGCCAAGATGCACCACGTGCACTCGACCGCGTCCAAGCAACTCCATCACGTGTACGAGGCGACCTCCAAGCAGCTCCATGCGACGCTCTCGCCGCGCTCGGCCAAGTTTTTCACCAAGAAAGGGTCACTGCACCTGCCGTCGCCCAACGTCCTCCTCGAACTCGACGTCCTTCGCACCGATCTCAAGACGCACGTACGTTCAACACTTCTCCTCCCCGTGTGTTTTACTCGTCTCTAGTGCACGCCGTCCGAGACCGTGTACGAAGCTCTCTTGCAAGAGCTGTGGACAACCGTCTTCAGCCAAAGCGCGATCCCAGGCATGGACCACACCCCGTTCACACGCGACGGCGACGGCTGGCTCCAGCTTGGCTTCCAGCGCAGCAACCCCGACACGGACTTTCGCGGTGGCGGTCTCCTCGGCCTCAAGTGTCTCGTGTACGTGTGCCACATGCACATGGACAAGGTCGACTCGTCATCATTGGAAGATGGAACCTATGATGGTTCTCTAGATGGCCTACATTTTTGCCGACCAGGTGCCAAATGCCGGGCAGCGCTGGTACCCTGTTTGCGTCGCCGGCATCAACCTCACGTGCATGCTCGCGGGCTTGCTCAAGGTACACTGCCGCGATCTTCTTATTTGCTTTTGTCATCGCACATGTACCTAGCTCGGGGACGGGTCATTTGCCGAGACGTCGGACAACTGCTGGCGTCTCTTTGAGGAGCCGTCTGCGTTCTACGAGCTCTACTTCTATGGTATCTCTTCTCCTCCTCGTCATTAACCCGTACGTATGATGGACGATAGCCTTTCTCAAGATGGATCAAATCTGGCACCGCAGCCAGGCGACGTTCATGCAATTTGGAGGTCTTCCATCCCGCGGATCTATGTAGCGGCGACCAATGCGTTCTTTTAGACGTCCTCAAGGCGACCAAGAAGCTCGTGCGCTATGCGTTGGCGCAGGGCCCGACGTCGCTCGCGGAGGTCACGGCGTTTACCGAGAGTATCCACGTCGACGACTTCAAGATCACGCGCCGTGAAGAGTACTACGACGACGTTGACGACGGCGAGTGCCCCGACCCGCACCGGATCACCGAAGACGACCGCATGCCGGTCGCCACGACCCTTGACATTGCGTCGCTGCAGTACGAGTTGCACAAGTAGTCGCTTCTTCTTACATGCTAAACTTCAAGCAGCCCGTCTCTCGGTGCTGGTCGCCGCACTTGACGCTGCAAAAGCGAGAGCCGCATCGGCCGCACGCATAGTTGGAGAAGAGCGTACGCTGGTTGTCAAGGAAAGTGGTCAATACTGTCATCGAGGTAGAAGACGCGGAAAAGGATATCCGCACACGACGCAAAACTTGCGGGGTGGCGTCGTGGCCGGCTTGACCGCGGCCGTGACGTAGTTGGGGCCGAGACCTTCGCCCGTCCCGCACTATACACGATGAGCCACATGATAGAGACATACAGGTCGGCTACCTCTTCAAAGACGAGCTGCGCAAGGCTCTTGACCTTGCGCACGACGCGCCGCCGCCCCGAGCTCGAGACGGGCACGATTGGCGCCTTGGCCTTGCCTTTGGCCCGCGATTTCGACGGCTTCTTGGGGCCCATAGCGTCCTCTTCGATGTACAAATCCTCGTCTTCACCGTCCTCGGTGGGCTCGACGTAGTTGTCGGCCTCGAGCGCGTCCAAGCGGGCGTTCCGCACCTGCTTGCGTGTCTCCTCGTCGACAAGCTTCATGGCCTTGCTGATCTTGACCGCGCGCCCTGCCCATGCACACATATAGCGCTTGGCCATGCTTCACGAGGGTCGTACCCGAGTTGCGCTTCCGGGGCGCCGCCGGCAGCGCGAGGCCGCTCGACGCCATTGTCTGGTCCCATTGCCGCTTGGCGTTTTTGGAGCTCATTCTGGAATTGGCAACAATAGCCAATCGGCGGCGCGCAATTCGAAAGAATTTGGCCAACCCGTGTGCAGCGCGATCTTGTACAACGGGCCAATCCGAGCGCGACCTTGGACATCATTTCATCCAATCCAGTGCCGTCTTGTGGCTCCTCCTAGCGACAGTACTCGTCTCGCCCCATCGAACACCTCGTAGTCACCACCGAGATACTCTGCGAGTGTGATCGAGTCTTCGATACGCACGGCAAGGACCAGCTCGAGCCCAATGTAAAATTGTTGAGCGTCCTGAAATGGAAGCTACAGTGTACTTAATACGAAATTCAACAATCAAAATTTTGCGTTTTCGAGTGTGGAAGTTGAAGTCGAATTCAGGTTGCTGAATCATCGCTTGCTGCTATTGCGTGATGGTCTCTCTTGGAGCGGGTTTGGTATCACTAGTGAAGGTCTATATGACAAAGTTGTCTGTGTGGTCGAAGCGTGGTGACGTCATTCGACTGTCCTCGACTGCATTAGTATTACAGTTCTACGACTCGTCGATCGGCGACGGCAAGAGCTCTTCGTACAGCCGGGCTGCAATCAAGCTTTCTTTGGCCGACGGCGCCGAGAAGTGGGCGAGTTGCGTCTTGAGCTCCAGTAGCACGCGCGCGTCCACCAAGTTGACGTAGCCGTCGAGCTTGACGAGGCACGAGATCCACGGGAAGATCACGTCGGCCTTCTCGGGCGTCGCCAAAAAGTCGACAAACGACGTGCAGAGTGCGTCGAGCGTCGTCTTGCGCAGAAGCGCCACGGACGGCTGTGCGAACGCAAGCACCTTCCAGAGCAAACTCTGGTCTTCCGAGAGAAGCGCAATGCGCAGCGCGAGCTCCATGTCGCCCTCTTCCATCGCCAGCCGGGCGTTGTCGGCAAACTCTTGGCTTGTCTGGTTGTCGTCCCGGGCGACGACGGGGCGCGGCGCTACGCTGCTGGGCGAAAACGGCGCGGTGGTGCTCAGAGACTTTTGAAATGACATCGATGGTTTGGACGGACTCGAGGACACCCAGCGCGTCGGGCTCGGCGGACTCGGGCTCGACGGTCGCACCGGGTGCAGTGCAGCGTACGCAGCGTCCGTGCAGCCGTGACCTGGTTGACTCGATCGAAGGAGCGGTCCGAGGTGCGTCAACAACGCCGATGCGCTTTCCCGCACAGGTGACGCCTACGACAATGGCTGAGCTACGAGAAGACCAACGCTGGCAGCACATACATAATCGGACCGACCCCGCTCGGCCAGCGTCATAACCTTTGCCTATGCGCCATAGTGAGCGAAGAGTACTTGCTTCTTCGGATATGAACCTGGAGGCCGACGAGGGTGCTGTGGCTTTGAAAGCAAGCGACGAGTGCGCCAAGAAGGTCCAAGCCGCGCTTGCGATTGAGCCAGTCGTCCCGCTGGCCCAGGTGTAGGACGTCGTCGACAGCGGCGACGAGGCTTGGGATGGCGTCGGCCATGGCTGTTGCGAGCTCGACGCGCGCCGGCACATCTTGGATCAAGACGGTGATGCGCAGGAGAATGTGAAAGATCGGCGAGTACGTGGCGTAAATCTTGCCGTGAAACTTGGCCATCAGCTGTGGCAAAAAGGAGATTAAATAGCCCGCCGCCCGTTCTGCATGGGCTGCAAGCAGCGCAGCGTTGTCGCTGGAGGGATGGAAGATGGCGCCGAGGCAGCGCGCCGCACCGTCGTTCATGATGTGCACTTCGGTCCAGAAGGGCTGGACGATCGTCTCGAGCTCGGACGGCGGCAAGAATGGTAGCGCGTGCAGCGCGAGCGCGCCGGCCGCGCCAACGCACGCGTCTGTCACCTTGCTTCGCTTGTCGCGCAGGCGCCGGTTCAAGTAGGCGGTTATTCTGTTGCGGAGCTTGGCGCACGCATGCGCCTGCGTCGTGCACATGAGCTCGATCAAAAGCACGACGTTTTCACGCGTCGACATCAAGATTGGATCCTGCGCCGTTCATGAGCTCGTCATAGCATGCGATGCAATATGGTCGTACCGGGTGCTTGCGCTCGAGGTCGAGTAGGACCTTGGGTACCGAGTTGGCAGCGAGATGCGGAATCGCGCTTCTACAGAGGGCGTCAGCCGCAATCGTAGCCGCAAAAACGACGTACGCGAGCGCGACGAAGGCCTGCTTCTCCGTGTCCCGCGCCTGAAGCTTGTCGATCCACTCGGCGATCGCCTTGCGCTGCTGCTTGTCGCTCGTGCCACTCATCATCGTCGTCGTGGGTGCTGCTGCCCTTGCCAAGGAAATCCAAATCGATAGCAAACCCTTCCGTAGCTGCAGTATCCGGACCGGATACGGTCCGCTCGTAACGCCCGCCAGCTCGACAGCGCTGCGGCGATTATATTACCAACTTGCTGCGTGGTAAGCGCCGGCGATGGATGCGTATTACATGGGTCATCCGTCTTCGCACTGCACGTCTAAACCTCCCCGCTTCATCTGACCGTGACGCGCCTATCAACAACGGGGCTGGGCAGATATGCATTATTACAGGTTTTCAACTCAGGGGTCAGACAATATCGTATATGACAGGTCCTTTCAGAAAGTATATCTATGGACCGGTGCATTCAATTACAGAGGTGCACACGATTTTTTAAAGCTTTTTAAAGCTTGAACCAGCATCGGGTCGGGTACACTGTAATGGTGTGCAACTGTCGAGGTATATAGTGTGAGTATGTAGCATTCAGGCACCACCTGCGTGTCGGACACGACACGGAGCGGTCCGAACGCCGTGACATGTAGCTATATAATGGCAGCCGCTCTCGTCCCGTGCGTAGCGCGCGTATTGATGCCATCGCGGCCAGTGTCGTATGACATAACAGTATTTCAGTGTATCTCGCTTCCACAAATTCATTTCGAAAAAGACGGTGAATTTCGAATTTTAAACCGCACAATTTGATCGTTTCTTCGTATCCGGCGCCGGCCAATCAAACGCGAGGGCTAAAAATAGCTTGCTGCTCTGATGGGCTTGCGTTCGCCAGTTTGGGATTCCTCGCCCTCGGTCCATGCAGCGTCTTCTTGGCCTCTCCATCAACATGCTCCGGTACGTGCAGGTAGACGGAAACTAGGTCCATGCTCATGGGCTGGCCAGGGGCGATGCGACTCCGGCGGCCGCGCCGGTCCCGAACCAGGTCGAGGCCGGCGCCAGCAGCATCGACGTCGCGCCGACGACCGAGCGACGACCGTCCATGCGCCCGACGGCGCTGCCCCCGCCCCTTGAGAAGGCCGAGGTACGATGCGCCATGAAGCATACATGGTAGCGATCGTCCATGGTCACAGAACCCGCAAGCGAACCTCAAGGCCAAGATCCTCGAGATACAGACCAACAAGTCGCTGACGCCCAAGGAAAAGGCCGATGGGATGCAGAAGCTCATGATGCAGCAGTGGAACGAAGCCCAGGAGCGCTTGACGCCCAAAGCCATCGAGAAGCCCGAGACGCCGATCACGGACGCCGACCGCACCGTCGTCACGTACCATGTACGCTTCACGTGCCCATCCCGCTCCGAAAGCTCACTTTACTGGCCACAGGATGCAGACAAGACCATCATGGGATGCCAGCATTACCAGTACGTCGACAACGACATGTAAACGACAGGGTGGCACTAACGTGGGTGCGTAGGCGCAAGTGCAAGCTCTATGCCAAGTGCTGCAACAAGTTCTACTCGTGCCGCTTCTGCCATGGTACCCGACCTCTACGCTCCAAGATCATGGCACTGACCATGAGCGACATGACAGACGAAGTCGAGAAGCACACGTTCGATCGGTACGCGACCGAGAAGATCTCGTGCATGCAGTGCCATACCGTCCAGGTATACGACTCTAGTCACAACATCACTCTCACGCCTTTCTCTCTTAGCCGGTCGGTAAGACGTGCACGAACACGGCTTGTGGCATTGAGTTTGCCCGTTACTACTGCGACGTGTGCAAGTTCTACGACGACGACCCGACCAAAGACATTTACCACTGCGAAAAGTGCCGGATCTGCCGCATCGGCAAGGTACTATCGACTACGCAACCGTGCCTCATCGCATGATCATCGTCGTAGGGTCTGGGCATCGACTACTTCCACTGCGACAAGTGCAACGCGTGCATGAGCATCACGCTCAAGAAGCACAAGTGTGTCGAGCGGTCGCTCGAGTCGGACTGCCCGATCTGCCACGTGTACATGTTTACGTCGACGACGCCCGTCATGTTCCTGCCGTGCGGGCACTGCATGCACGTTGCTTGCTACGAAGACTACACTCTTGTACGAGCACTCGAGCGAACCCACGAGGTCTCATACTCCTTTGTAGACCAACTACATTTGCCCCTTGTGCTCCAAGTCGCTCGGCGACATGCGCACGTACTTTGCGCGCATCGACGACCTCCTCGCACAGGAGCAAATGCCCCCCGAGTACGCCAACTACCGATCGCAGATCTACTGCAGCGACTGCGAGCGCAAGTCGGAGACCAAGTTTCACTTTGTCTACCACAAGGTACAACCTCGATCCTTGCAACACGAATTCACGCGTTGCACAGTGCCAATACGACGAATGCAAGTCGTATAACACCAAATTGCTCAAGAACATCCAGCTGCCGCCGGACGCAGCGCCGCCCGCCGCGCCGACACCGCTCGTGCGGGCATCAGGCGGCACGCCAACGGTTCGCCGGCCGTCGACAACAGCAACGACGTCAAGCAACATCACCGCGTCCGTGCGTCGGAATTCGACGCCGGGGCCCACGCGCAACTAGGCCACTTTTGTACGCGAGCCAATAGGATAGGAAATAAGCAGGCGCCAAGCGCTTAATGTCAAGCCAATTCTGCATTGCAATATAAGTGTCGAAGTGGCCGACGTGTCACCGGACGAGATGTCTCGTGTTGCCACGTCATAAGCAGGGGTACGTTGACCACACGACTCGTCCACAGCGAGTTGCCCCTGGCCACTCGATCTCAAAATGGCAATGATGACTCCTATGGTCTCCCGTCTTCTGCTATCGACGCAGGTGGGTGCTGGTCAACGTGTTCTCTGTTCACAATGGTCAAGTGCCATCACGCCAAACGAGATGACGTGGCAGCAGCTATGGTCCTCTTCAAAGTGGCTTCCACCATTTACTTGTACTTTGAATACCTACATTGTCATCTCCATGCTTGACGCAATGTAGCATCGCCATCAACGACGTGTTAGGAAGAGACATGTCGTCCATATGGAGTGTGTTCTTTGCCGCGTCGCTCCTCCGAGCTCTGATTGCATACAAATTCGTAGATGAATTATTTGAAACCACCCCTTTGGACGCAAAACACCCAACTCGCGTGCGAACATTAGAGCGTTATCACCATTTTATTCGGGAGCGAGCGCAAGCATGATGATCCCGCTGCGCGAGTTCTACAGCCTCCTCCTCCGGGGCTGGCACAGCGTCGCCTCGTACCTCACGTCGCACTTTTACGCGCTCAAGATGCGGCCGGTCTCGGGCTTTGACCCGTCCGGCTTTATGTTTATGCTCGCCTTTCTCTGCTTGACGATCGGGCTCTTGCTCGCGGCGCTCGACCAGACGCAGAAGCGCCGCCTCTCGTCGTACCTCCAAGAGCACCCGCTCAACCCCGACTTTAACCGCCTCGAGCGCCGCCTCAGCAACGTCTCCAAGTACGTGACCGACAAGGCCATTGACCATTCGGCGCGCGGCGGCTTTGTCGTCGAGATGCTCAGCTTCAACTACCTCTCCCGCCTCGGCTTTACGGTCGCTATCTTTGGCCTGACGTCGTACTTTAACGCGCTGGCGGCCGTCGTCGCGGGGTAGGCAGCGCCATGGCGGGACTGGAAGGCCCGATATGCTCAATTTGTGTGTAGGTGGCGCACGCCGCACGTGGTCATTTTGACGCTGGACCGGAGCGACAGTGGCGAGAAGACGCTGCCGGACCTCGGCCATGACCTCTTCAAGTTTGTCATGAGCAAGTTTTACGGCCAAACGACGTACATTGACTGGTTTGACCTGCCGGACGAATTCATCGCGTTCGTCGGCACGATCATTGCCGTGCTCTTCGTCGTACATCCTCGCGTACCTGCATGCTCTCTACCTCCATGGTGCCATGCGGCCATCTACGTAGCGTCTCCTCATCATCCGCCGCTTCACTGCGATTTACGCCTGGATCAACCTCCTCCGCGGCTTTTGCGTCGCCGTCACGTCGCTCCCGGATGCGAGCCCGCAGTGCATTTCGCAGTTTGAGACGGCCAAAGGCGCATACAAGTCGCAGCCGATTTTTCCCAAGTACGGCGTTGTCCTTGTCCTTGCAGCGATTTTGATCTGCTTACATTGCTCTTAGGGCCGTCTACCGCGCACTCAAGGTGCTGCTTCGGCCCTCGCACCACATTACATGCGGCGACATGGTGTTTAGCGGGCACACGGTACGAAGGAATCTGCAATGGACGCGGAAAGGACGCGTTGACGTAGGTATTTTTGATTCTGTGCGCCATGATCGTGACGACGGTAGGATGCTGCTCGATCTCACGGCCGTGGGCTTTATGTGGGAGTAGTACTGCAACACGGACGAGCTCAACACGCCCTTCACGCGCAAGCACTGGTGGACGTTGCCGCTCGTCAAGTACTCGGTCTGGGCCGGCTCGTTCCTTGGCGTCTTTGCCATCGTGGGCACACGGCTGCACTACACGCTCGACGTGCTCATTGCGATCTACGTGACAATCCAGACGTGGTACACGTACCATTGGCTGGCGGCCGACAACCGCTACAACTTTCGGCTCATCTCGTGGCTCGAGCACGACCACGAAGTGCATTCGATCGACCACCACGCGTACCGCATGGCGCGCCGCACGGGCAGCCTCTCGGACTTTGACATCAAGAACTTCTCGCCGCTCTCGCCGTCGCCGCCGAGTTCGCCAACATCTAAGAAAGACAAATAGACGCGATTTGCATGAATTTGTTAGTTGCAAAGTGTGGCTCTACTGGGTCTTTTTGGCCGCGGCCTTGGCGCGCAGCGACGACTCGATCTTGCCTTCGAGCATCTCCTTGATGCCCGGCCACTCGCCGTTGAGCGCCGCAAGCACGGCCGTGTCACGGTTGGCGCCCTTCACGATCATGTGCTTGCGCAAAACACCTTCAAAGGTAAAGCCGAGTGAGTGGGCTGCCTTGCGCGAGCGCACATTGAAGCCATCACAACGCCACTCGACACGGCGGTACCCCAAATCAAAGAGCGCGCGAAGCAGGAGGTAGACAGACTCACGGTTGGCGCCCGACCCTTGGGCTGCGGGGCAGTACCAGGTCGCACCGATCTCGACTCGGAGGTCCTTGGCCGAGTGGTTGATCAGACACACCATACCGACGGGCTTGTCAGTCGACGCATCAAGCTACATGGCGCAGTATGAGATGGATTTTTGATTGCCTTGATAAAGGACGTACGACGACAAAGTGGCGCTGGTTAGGCAGCTCCACGGCGCGGTCCTTCTCAAATGCCTCGAAGCTCGGGAACGGCCCCGTTGTCATATAGCGCCAAATGAGCGCGTCAGCGTCATAGTCTTTGGTGCCGTAGAACCCGCCAAGGGCTTTCCCAGACGAGATGTCGTACAGGCGGCGCACCATGGCCTTGACGTCCTTGGCGGACCCGCTGTGCAGCGGACGAAGCTTGACGATGTAGCCGTCGAGCTCAAACGACGGCGGCTTCTCGGGAAACGTCGCCGCCTTCTCGAGGAGCTCGTCGTAGAGCAGTGGCTTTTCTTGGTCCATCGACTCTGGCATGCCCACGGCTTCGTGCTGCATGCGGTGGAAGGAGCCGCCGTAGTAGAGCAGCGCAAATACGACAATGAGCGTCGAGCAGAAGACGAGGAAGCCCACAAAGATGCCAAGGTAGGCGTACCCGTACACAGGGTCGTCGGCCGGCGCTTGCATGGTTTCGAATTCTCTTGCGCGAAGTATTCCAATACTTTGACCGAGATTGCACTTTCTACAAGTGCGAACTTCGAGGCCCATGTGTGGCCCACAAGAGTGTTGGTGGGGGCCGCCGAGGAAGCAGGGCGAAGCGCATCGGAACAGCATGCAAGCGCAACCGCGGCATCTGTGGGATGTAAATGCTTGGGACATAGCTGAACGAGCGTCTCTGATATCGCGGTACATGTATTGCGCGTTGAAGACGGCTCGCATCATCATTCACCTATTCACCTGCTCGTGACGTACTTGTAGTTTGGGCCGCTGTTGATAGTGCTGAAAGCTACTCCAAAGAGCACTTCAAGGCTAGCGGTGCGACGTAGTGGCTGACGCAATCGACCAATGCACTCGGAAATATTGCTCTTGGGTCCTTCCTTTCAAACGGTTCGATCGACCCTGGTTTATTGATGCAAGTCATGGATGCAAGTACGGGCGTGTAGAGCATGCCAAGTACGGTGTTGCAAGCACAAACACGCCTCGCACGAACGCGTATCAACCACAGGGAGCAGAGCTCGTTTATTGGCGCCACTCGGATCTTTCGAAGTTCGAAGCCGGCATGCCAGCACTCACCTGGTGGGCCGGCGGCCCATGGCCTGTGTCGCATCAAGGGTGTCGAGAGCTCGTCTCACGAAATGCCTTCTTTGAAAAAGACCTTGGACCGAATGAGCCCCAACACCTCAACGAGCTACGGCTGCGAGATGGGTGAGCTAATTCAGACAACCGTATGACCGACAGTTCATGCATGAGCTTCGATTTCCATGAATTATTGTGGTCTTTGCGTGGAGAATGTCAAGCAGTTGCAACGCAATGACGGAATCTAGTAGAGCTTCTAGCAAAGTCTTCACAACTCACTACCATGTTGACTATCTACTACATCAATTTGGCATTGGCCTTGGTGGCCAGCGAAGACTTGATCTTGCCTTCGAGCATTTCCTTGATGCCGGGCCACTCGCTGTCGAGCGCAGCGAACACAACGGTGTCGTAGTTGAGACCTTTGACAATTCTGTGCTTCCGCAAAACGCCTTCAAAGGTAAAGCCAAGCGAATGGGCCGCCTTGCGCGACCGCACGTTGAAGCTGTCGCAACGCCACTCAACCCGGCGGTACCCCATGTCAAAGAGCGCCCGAAGCAGGAGGTAGACGGACTCACGGTTGGCGCCCGACCCTTGAACTGCGGGGCAGTACCAGGTCGCGCCAATCTCGACTCGGAGATCCTTGGCCAAGTGCTCAATCAAGCACACCATACCAATCGGTTCGTCCGTCGACGCATGGAGCTATGAGACATGAGAAAGGACCCATGATGGGAAATAATGACGTACAACGACAAAGTGGCGCTGGTTGGGCAGTTCAACAATGCGGCCTTCGTGAAAAGCTTCGTATGTCGGAAACGGGCCGTTCACCATGTAGCGCCAAATGAGCGCATCGACATCGTAGTCCTCCGTGCCGTAGAAGCCACCGAGCGCCTTACCGCACGAGATGTCGTACAGGCGAAGCGCCATGACCTTGACGTCTTCGGTCGACCCACCGTGCAGCGGTCGGAGTTTGACGAGAGAGCCGTCAAGCTCGAACGACGGCGGCTTCTCCGGACACATTGCCGCCTCCTCGAGGAGCTCAGCTTGAAGCTGCAATTGCTCCTCGTACATCGACTGTGGCAAGTTTACGTCTTCAAACTTCATGGCGAGCGTCTGTTGGAGAGCAGGTGAATTTGATTATGAGTGCTAAAAAGCTGACAAATGTAGCCCAAATACGTACGCTCTCATAGTACGATGGCGAGTTTTGTTCTTGTAAGAGGTTGCACTTTGCTCGTGTACGAACTTCGTGGCCCACGTGTGGCCCATCAAGAGTGCTTGTCAGGAGTGCTCGACCGTGAAAACGCACTTTGCCCGCGGTCGTCATGGGAGCGTACACTGCCCATCTATACTACTGTACAATAGAACGATCAATGCCATTACTGAGGCCTCGGGATTGCTACCCACGCCATCACCCTACGTGACGCGACGCAAGGGCCAGGTAAGTATCTATCTATCTACCTGCGTTTCTTTTAAGGTTGTGCCAAGGTGGCACAGCGTTGGCACTTGCTGCGACCCGCCAACACGAACAATGCCGTACAAATAGTATTAGCAAAGTGGATACATCAACCGACAGGCAGCTCGACGACCACAAGCACTTACAGTGCATGACGAAACGAGCCGATAAGCTGTATTAGTACTAATAGAATATAATTGCAACGACGCACAGTGTCAGCCGGTTTGTCAACATCGCGGAACTGTAAACCTCAACTGCGATCTTTCGAAGTTTGATTGCCATTCGACCAGCACTCTTCGCACAGCTGGTGGGCCGGCCCTC